AGCATCAGTGATGGCAATCTCCTCAGGCTCCATAGTGGTGAGATAGAAAGCCGAATCCGCTTCCTCAATCTCGAAGTGGATATAGTCAGACTTGGTAGCCTGAGCGACCTTCTTAGCAGCGATAAGGCAATGGATATGCCTGGCGATCTCAGCACTGGTAAAATGCTTGAAGTAGCTGGGATGAAGACCAAGCTCAGTGAAGTAGTAGACGATCTCCTGCCAGAGAGAACCAGCAGCGAGGACACCTTCCTTCATAATGATAGAAAAGACCTGAGTCATCTTGGTTTCCAAATCCTCAGGAGTCAGAGAGATATTGGTGTTCTTCACTTGCTCCCTCAAAGCCTCCTCCTTCTCAGGGGAAAGATAGCACATGGCATCATCACACTTGAGGTCGAGTTGACCGAGCACCTCCTTGATGTCGCTATGATGGTTCACCACAGCATCGTGGATAGGAAGCATACCGAAGCGATCAGTCTTGAGCTGAGCCCCCTCACCCAACAAATATTGGACAGCATCCATGTGACCACCAGCAGCAGCTAAATGAAGAGGAGTTCTCTTATCATAGTCTTGAACATTAACAGATAGACCGGAGTTGCTGGCCATAAGCTCCTTCATGCGATTCATATCGCCCTGATAAGCAGCCTCGAGAAATGAGGAAACAACACTTGTAGTCGGTGAGTCCATATTAGTGATCTTATAAAAATAGAAACTGCAAAAGACAATATGATACGATATGATGTGATGTGTTATCATTATTATACAACTGATAGAGTTCTACGATCAAGTTGCTGGAAGCACCGCGCTAAGCCTAGCGTCGCAGCCGTCGAACTCCGTCCCGCTATAGGTGACTTTCAGCTGCGACTAGGTATCACAATGTAGGATGTGGCTGTCTCCGTTTGCCGGTGTGTGAATAACGTTTGACCATCCCTCGAGTGATTGTCAGCATAAAGGGTAGTTGTATGTTGGTAACTAAGATTCGACTCACTCGGTTTCATACCTTCGAATATCTACATACACCTCCACAATGCTTCCTTTCGTTAGTTATTTTATATCTCGCAATAACGCAACAATAAAAGGATCATTTGAGGCCGAAGTTAGTTGATAACTCCGAACCCATCGCTATGAACATCAACCGGTTCTGGAGATTGCATCAACCAACCATCCTCCAGGAGATAGGACGATTCGTTAAA